GTCGAAAATAAAATGCGAATATGTTTTATCATTCAAAAGTGGGTGCATTTTTAAAACTTCGGGATTTTTTTTTTGATAATATGCCGCACTTTCATTTTTAATGGCTGCATTCATCAGAATAGCTACCAAAACTGCTCAGATGTCATGAACGAAAACTGCATTAGCAACTACTTTCATCAAAGTAGCTATAGAGATCCCTCTTCGTCAAACTTTTTGTCTCTATCCTCCCAATCAAATCATCTGACCCGCTAACTAAACAGAGCTCTTTTTTAGACTCAATATTGACGCAATGGAACACGGTTAATCTCAATAAATAACCACCCACGGGCAGTCGTTCCCACTTGATCAATACAATTATACTCCTACTCATTCAGGTGATCAAATCCTCACGTGATGCACAAAAGGATTCATTCGGCTACTCGTTCCGAGGATATCAAACAATGGAGAAAGGCATACCAGCATCTTTGGCCGTTGCCTACAGGAATTCTGCGTATACTGCAAGTTCCCAATCCTCAACAGGGATCCCTGAGGCTTCGTGCAATTCGAGGACTGACCTAATCGATGTGTAGCACTTATGTACATCCTATGCTTAATCAGCTTTTCAGTGACTACCGGTGCCAGTTGTCAGGTGCCGAATGCGGCGATTATTAATTTTCCGTTTCCTTTGTCGTTCCAAAGCAGCCAAATGACCGATATTTTGTTCTACGGGTTCACTTATAAACATTTTCATTTGAATTTTTCGTTACATTTGAACTCAACTAAAAGTTTTGAGGGTTCCATGTCATCTTTTCATTAAAACATCGTGTCTGCATGGAACGGGGTACCTCTTACGATCCTTTTTTCCGATCGGTTTTACTTGCTGCTATCACAATTCTATGGATTTCCCATTCGGAGGGAGTAACAACTTCCAATTAGTTCAATTTTGATCCTGTCCTCTCCCCTACCCATGTCACTGCAGGGAAGTCACAGGAAAATCAGAGCTGATAAGCAAAGGTCTGCGTAGTTCTATAAAAAAAAGTCCGTAGCTCATCAAACGCAAGCTGAAGCAAAGCAAAGAGCTGCAATCCGCAAGCAATTTCAGTAGGTGCACTCTCTTGAAGAGGTCCACAGTAATATTTGGGGTCAAAAAGCTATGGGGACACCTTCGCGAATCTCGTCTCAAGGCGTTTCTGCAAAGAAGACTAGGACAACTCACCATTCGATCGCCTGTCGATTTGTTCCTTCTCCTTCTCAAGTGCCCTCAATTTTGTCTCAAACGCTTTAGATCGTAGAAGAGAGCGATGATCGATCTAAAGTTCTTCCATTTAATTATCAATTCGTAATTCTCAAATTGTTTAAGATTGACCAATAGAAGTCTACGAGTTTGGTGAATTTGTTTTCAGTGAGACTGGATCAGCGCAGTAATTCGGAGTAACCTCATATTTGTTGAGGTGAGGGCGGGAGATCGGATGGAAAGGCTCTCGTCTAACTTATGTACATACACGCCCGCGGAAGAAGAAGAGGATGCATAAGGTAGTAAAATCCGAAGCAGATACCCGCGCGGATGAGACTGATAGAACGCGCTCGCAGTGGATGGAGCAATTCCAAATGTGCATCGCTATCTATAAGTAGTTTTTAGCTTCCTTATAAAGTGACTCTTCAAAAGGGCGCAGATGAAAAAGGAGTTCACCACAAAGAAACTGGCATAGGCCGTTGACAGTGGACGGAAAATTCTTCATTGCGGGGTGCTTTCTATCAGTAATTGAAACAGACCAAGGTGAGCCGAGAAACCGAAAGAAATTAACGGACAAAAACGGTTAAAGCCGGAAGGGAGAAACGGGAATCATGTGCTTGCGGTATTCGTAACCTCTGCATTCAAAGATGGGTTTAGTGCTAGTTTACCATTAATTTTTATTTGATGCCCCAAAAGTTCATGTTTCCACTGCCGTCATCACTTGGAACTATTGGGACTTAGTACTGCCGCCTACTGCCCACATTCATTTGCTCATTTTCATCAATATCGCTAGTATGGGTTATTATTGGTCTAGGTGCCCAAGCCCGGGGAAAGGATCCAAATTTAGTCGTAGGGGATGAAATTTACAAAGCTAGATGCTACAGTGCTAGTTTCTATTCACCCGTGTGAAAGCACATGGTTTTCCGAAATGATTTCGTAGATGAACTGATCTGGACGAGATAGATAATAGCCTGTTCGCACTACTGGAAGCTGCTCAAAACCCTATTATATATTTGGGACATTGGCAGATCCATGACAAAAAAACCTAGAGCAAAAAAAGAGCAAATGTCCAGAAGCAGCATAGGGAGAACGAAAAGAACCTGGCAAAGGCATCGCGAGCGCACAAAAGTGTTCTATTTCAAATCATTTTTGTCCCAAACAAACCAATATTTCGGGTACAACACCCGGGTTAGAAACATTAGGACCAGCCCGATATCCAATCCACATTTATATGAACAACTGTTCCAAATTTATTTAGACTTGATTTCTACAACAACTCACCTTGGATGCTCCAAGAGATTCACGCAAAATACCAATATGTTCTTCATAGATGACAATGTCCGCTTCAAGAATTTCGATCAACTGGTCTTGAGCGATGATGGCATCTTCAATGTTTGCTAATTCGGAATGGGATTTTGATTTGTGTCATGGCTCCGAATCAAAAGAAGAACTATGGAAAGTGATCACCTCCCACAGTAACCACACACCTTTTAGTTTATCGACGTCGTCGAGTATGCTGTGTTTCTGCTGCTCCATATAATTGATGATGTCCTCGGCCTCAGCAAGATCCTCTATCAGCTGATCCAGGAATTCTTCGCCTTGAGATACCTGAAGTTCGTTACATCAGAGCTATCATACCTTATTCGCTCTATACAGCTAATTAAAACCCGGGATATGTATGAGGCCTTATTCATTTCCGAACCACAAGATAAACTGAGCAACTTCGGTTGCGTTAACCCGTTCTAGAGCCTGCTCTAGAACGGGTTAACGACGTTCTAGAGCACAAAGACCCGCTACAGACAGAGTCCATGTCTTTGGTGGTTGCCCTCGAAAGGTACTTAAAAACAACGTATAAAAAAGATTTCTTTTGAAGGTGTGGACGAAACGGTATGGGAGTTTTGAACTTGAGAGTGGAAAGCTCTCATGGAGATCCCGTTAACTTTATAAAGCTCACTTCTGCGTTAGTCTGAAGTACGGGCAGTTTTGGGTTGTGCTCCTGCATTTGGCTTATCGAAATCGTGATTGCGATTTGAATGCGTAATTTAGAAGCTCCAGACGAGTCTGCTCCCACTTAAAACCGAAGACATGGAAGGCTTCGCCACCAGCACGATTATCGATACGCTATTCGAACCTCGGACCACACGCGTGACCACTGGTCCCTCTCCGTCCATGATTTCGGAATCTCCCAGAGAATGAACAGTGCCCTCTCCAAACAATGGACACCACTGTTTCTAGAGCATTGAAGACGTCAGCAGTACACAGTATTCCCCCTCTCCCACTCCCACCTGCTCCCTTCTTCCCTCCACCCTCAGCCGCCCCCGAGAAATTGACGGCGGACATTGGATAGAAGGCATTCATTGCTACTGATTGGAGAGGAATGGGTATGGAAGAGTTGGGTGTAATCACTTGTAAATGGAAAAGGAGCCCAATCGAGCTCATGCGCTTCACTAGTGACATCAAGACATCTGCATCGAAATATACTAGCGCTGGGTAGCGAGCTAGTCAGTGTTTGCCAGAGTGCCGGCATACGCAATCTTGCAAAGCAGAGGAATCTTACCCAGGAAGCCTCGTAAAAAAAAAACTCGTACGACTGCCTAGATGGGAGAGAAAACGAAAAAACGGCGTGTAAGTAAAGTGTGGGGCAGTAGCCTGCCCTCGCCAAAAAAAAGGAAACCGAACTTATCATGCTCTTGCTCACATATTCAGGTTATCACAAAGGAACGCCAGTAGTCCAATGAGCTTACCCAACTTCCAGATCCCTTTGATGCAATGCTACTCTTGTTACTCCATTGTCATATTAATTTACCCATTTAAGAACGGGGGAGGTAAAGAAGAACTGCTTGCATAAACTGCCGCCGGGTGGTTGCCACTAAATCATGTCATGGTATATACACTGCCCCCGTTAACTCAGCATATGACTCTTCCCTCCACAGTGCCTATTTTCCATTGTTCTATTTGTAAATCCCGTCGAACGTAATCACCTTCAAAACATGGAATGATTCAGCTAAGCAACTAAGGCCTTCCCCCTCTTCAGTGCTTCGCAAAAAAGCTCCTGCCTTGTACCGATGGGAAAAATACATCGTGTGGATGAACATTTACAAAGAGAGGAGACTTCGAATCAACGATGTTCTAACTTCCCTAAATTCCTTCTCGATGGCTTCGGTGAATGGCGGAGAGCGACCTTTCCACTGGGGTTTGAGTCAGCATGTGCCACTATCGCCGAACCCGCTCATCGGAAAAACAAGGTGAAAGGAACAAAGAACTCGGCAAGCGCGAAATATTATAGAGTCCGACCAGAACCATACCGACACGCTTAACTTCAGTATACACGATCATCAGAGCATGTTGGTCAGTTGAGCCACGCAGAGCAACGAAGACGTGGCATGGCGCAACGTGGCTTAGGGTGAAAGGGACCAGAGCACCGCCTGAGTGTTGGAACGCTCGGCCAAATCTCGACTACAGGTCGCACCCGCTCATGGACAATAGCGCTAAGCATTCCTATGCACATTCAGACGTTCCTAGGTTACCTGCTCACTAACAAAATAGAACTATGCAGCTACAAATAGAAATGGTGATAGTGTTCATGAGAACAAACTCTTACCTTAACTTCCCAGTCTCGATTAGCTTTCTCGCTGGCATCCAACTCTTCTGTCAGTTTGTGATTTTTTGTCCTAAACATGAACGATTAAGCTTCTAGGACCCTGGTCTTTTTCTGTGTAGTTGACACCGACCTTCGTCGCCCACTCATGGAACTACCAGTTCATTTGCGGAAATACAAGCAACTATCGATAGAATCGTTTCAAATCCACGCCTATATCGAAGCAGGACACGTCATATTCGATAGCAAAAGATTTTGTTGATCAGATAAGATAGAATAACTCCTTTACTAGCAGTATCGCTCAGCAATGGCAAGATAAAGGATTATGTAGCTGTGCAGAAAAAGCTTCTCTTTTACACCCTCGTCCCACATGGTGTCATAGCTTGGAAGGAGCACTGTACCGACAATCTCTCAATAAAAACTTGATAAGGAATATTTCTATAAAAGGTTGGCTCCATGTCGCTCTATATCTCAGGTAAAGTCATCGTCAAGAGAAATTGGACGATTGACAAACCTTTCGTCAACAGAAAATGTTGGATTAGCAAAAGTTTTCTATTATACATATGTATATACACCATTTCATTGGCCAAATCATCATCCTAAGCTTGTACTAATTCTTTATTGAACGCAATTCCACTACCCTGAGAATATCCCTCAGCGTTGCCCTCCGCAAACATGCGTTTTACAGCAAGAACGGACTAAAATCGTAGAGAATTGTCTCCTCTTCTCTATTCTCGGCTAGGTGTGTTCACTCGAGGAAATATTAAAAAATTTGCGCATAAACACTGTTGCCGCTATCTTGACAAGACGGAACTCCTAAGCAGCAACGCCATTCCCGCAGCGAACTCAGCCGGGTTCGACCACCCTACCAATATCCACGGTTCGTTTTGTAAAGACGCACTCAGATTTTTGCTATTTATAGTGCAAGCAGTAGGTGACGGCTAACCTGACCTCTTTATAAGCGGATACCAATAACTATCAAGTTCTTAATTGAGGGAGCTCACGTTGGACAAAAGCGGTATCGATCCATGAATTCCTTATAAATTTTAAAAATTATGCTGGGCACTACTTCAAATATATCTTACATTTAGAACTTACTTAGTCTCATTCAACTGCTCCCGCAGTTGAGCATTCTGTTCCACTTCCCATTCCCGAGTGCTTCTCAGGCTTTCGATTTCCGTCTGCAGACGGTCCACCTAGAGCAATAAATAGGATTGCCTCGCTTTAACTAGAATCAGTGAGTGTCAGCAAAAGGAAATAGTACCTGTTCTGCATGGTGTTCTTTTAGTTCGGCCATTCGGTCTTCAAGTTCCTTGATTCGACCTTGAGCCACCGCTCGGGCTTTCAGCGATTGGGTTTTGCTGTCACGAACTACTCTTGTCATTTCAGCATCAACCTGAAATTCGAATGTCAGATATTCTCAAAAAGACACTCAACAAATCCAAGCTCTTCCATGCGGATGATATAATATTTAGTATGAAAATCGCCAGGGTTGAATGCACGTTCACGATGAAAATGGTTTCTGAGATTTCTCCATAGTACAGGGTGCCCCAAAATTATAGGCGTCCAAATTCAGAAATTTTTAATGTAGAAAGCATATATCAAATTCAGATGACCTGTTATTAATTAGTTGCATGAGAAGGTTTCGTTGCAATATGCATGGTTACTGATGTAGAACTCCCAATATCTTCCAGATGGAGGAGGCTCATTCAATGCCTTTGCGATCATTGACACGCGCGAGGAGGAAGGAAATTATGGAATTCCTTGGGACTTTTATGATAACCGTATAGGAGGTTATCAAACGAGACAGAAAAAAAGCTTGAATCAGAGGCAACCCAGGAAAGGTAGAAAGGTAGAATGTTCCTGAAGATAGGACTATCAAAATGGT